CGTCGCCCTTTTCACCGATCACCTTCAAACTTCTGCTATATACTCTTAAGCTATTGGGGAAAATATTCAACCGTCAGATTTTTCCAAAGTTGAAAGGTGTGGGCGTGGCTAAGTCTCAAACTTTGACCTGTTGCCATGCCACTCTTTTTTTCACAGCTCCCTATTGGACTCCTTTCACCCAATCACCAGCAATCTCTGGCAAATAGCAGTAGACAAGTTGAGGTAACTTGGTGTCCAGTATTGGCAGGTTTCAAAAAAAGGCGGGGCTTTGGGAGCATGGCTAAATTCGCCATCACGCCACGTAAATACGTTTGCCTCTCATTTCCTCAGTTATCATGATATCACTACGAAATCTCTGCTGAGTGATTCTAGTCTGATCCCCAATAGAAATGAACATGATAGATTGGTGGGCGTGGCCTATATTCTGAAATAGTGCCCTCTAGAACCATTAAAACTGTCAGCCCCAAGCCATGCTTTAACTGAGAACTACGAAATTCGGTACCTTGGGACCTACAAAAAAGTCTCTTGGAGCCAACCTCAATGTCGCACAGGAAGTCGGCCATTTTGGTCCAAGTACTCGATTTAGTGGTTTTCGCACACGTCGTTTGGAAAGTGATGCTCCATCGCCCTTTTCACCAATCGCCTTCAAACTTCTGCTATATACTTTTAAGATATAGGGGAAAAATTTCAACCGTCGGATTTTTCTAAAGTTTAAAGGTGTGGACGTGGTTACGCCTCAAACTTTGACCTTTCGCCATTACATTATTTCACGTAATAACTCCCATGTGCATGATCAGATCTATAACAAACTTTGTCTGTGTGATCACTGGCCACATCTCAAGACAATGACAATGTGGACAGCTGACATCACCTAAGCCCCACCCCTGACTACAGGAAGTCTATTGTTTTATGGTGAAATGCCCATATTTGTCCCCCCCTAATTTAATCAACATGACAGTAAGGTCATGCACTGTCTTTATGATGCTGTAATGACCATTCAGTTCTGATAGCTTTCCAGAAAGGTTACCAAATATGACCTCCATGAGATTTAGTTGTAAATGGTCACAGCACCCCTAGATAGTTTCAAACTTTATTAACTTCTAAAGACAAGGTTAGAATGGCAATAAACTTGGCTTGTGTCATCAGTGACTGCACCAAACACATTGATGTGGTTGTTGGTTCAAACCCCTTTAGCTCCACCCCTTTTCGTCTCTAGATAACACACACAATGTCTGATTGATACCAAAATAACAGAAAACCATCTTTGTCAGCCAAAGCTGACCTCAATGGGATTTTTCTGTACTTGGTCACAGCGCCCCCTAGATAATTTAACCTTCAATAACTTCAAAAAACATGGTCAGAATAGCATTAAACTTGGTCTGTGTCATCACACCACCAGTGTGGTAAAGATAGAGTATTCCCTAGTGGTGAGATGTGTAATTTAATGGAGGGCTCAGAGGAGATGCTGAGTCTGGGTGAGGTGCGGATGAGGAGACCGTTCGCGGTTTCTGGTTTTGGGGCGGTCGACGTTTCTGTTCCGCAGACATGCCCAGGTGCCCCGTGCTGCCGGCCAGGACGGAGCGGCGCAGAGCTGCGAGGGCCGAACGACGCTGCTTGCAGCTTTAATTTTTCATTTGTTGTTTGTAATATTTTATAAAATAATTTGACTAATTACCATAAAGACTGACAGCATTGTTCTTACAAAGAGGAGAAATGTTCTCTTTCTCATTCTCTCACACACTCACATATAGAAAAATCATTTTTTTGTCAAAATTATTTTATAAATTTGATGACCATAACAACTGTAACTCCATCATTTACTAACAAAAGTTGTTTAAAGTTTAAAAGTCTATCCAGAAAGGTTGCAGGTTATGCATCAATTAAAATACCAAAGACCTTTTAATATATGCTCCAGGAACCCCACATCCCCAGTAAGCACATAGGCCCTTTGAACTATAACATTCTATTCTGTTCATCTTACACCTTTAGTTAATATTTTTAGAGATTTTATTTTATAAGTATATATGTATGTATGTATTTGGTGGCACAGTGCTTAGCACTGTTGCCGTGCAGCAAGAAGGTCTCGGGTTTGAATCAAATTTGATGGATGCATGTTTGCATGCAGAGACCCCATCCATCCATCCATCTTCTTCCATGTGGTTCTCTGTTCTGTCCTCCTACAGTCCAAACATATGACAGTCAGGTTAACTGGTCTCTCTAAATTGACCTTAGGTGTGAGTGTGTGCATGCATGGTTGTTTGTCCTGTGTGTCTGTGTTGCCCTGTGATGGACATGTCCATGGTGTAAAGTTAAAGTCCCATTTATGTAGATGGTCATCACACACTGGTGAAATTCATCTCTGCATTTGGCCCAACCCTGTGGGGAACGGTGACCTATTTGGTGGTTTAACACTCCAATCCAACCCATTTAAAGCTGTCTGTCAAGCAGGGAGGCACTGGGTCCCATTTTTAAAATCTTTGATATGACCCAACTGTGGATTTGAACCCTGATCTCCGCGTCCCAGGGCGGCCACTCTACCACTAGGCCACTGAGAAGGTTATACCAACTGCTTGCTCAAAGACTGCTGGAGATAGGCACCAGCTCCCTGCAACTGTGTGGATGAGCGGGTAAAGTACATGGCTGGATGGATATTTGTACTTGTAGATATTTTCATTGTTTTAGAAAATCTGAACGAATATAAATGTTCAAAATTGCTTTAAAATTGTTTATCCCAAAATACTGAGAGGAAATAAAAATCTGGTGTCAGATCTCAGGAGGACCTTCCAAATATTCATGAAGTTTATGAGAATATAAAATTGTTTTACTTTAACAGCTGCAGCATGTTAATTATTGTTGTGAAAATGAGTTATTGGAGAGCTGTCATCGTCGTCTTAATGTTTCTAAACTTTCAGCTTATTTTACATCAATCTGAGTGATGTTAATTTCCTCAGACTAAAACAACAAGAGTGATAACAACTCATTAGAGCTGCTCCTTTAAGTTTCAGACATGTGAAACATCAAGCAGCGGTTCTGTGCAGGATCATTTTAGAGTAAATCACCCAGTGCATGTTTCTCTGTGAGTCATAGTGACAGATAGGTTATGCATGCTTTTTTCTATCTTCTCTCTCCTTTGGTGAGTTCAAATGATTTAAACATGCTTTCTCTGTCCTTCCTATTTGATAAATACCGGATAAAGCCACTCCTTTCCACAGAGTACACCAATCTAGAAGAAATAATGAACTTCTCCTGGGGTCTAAAATTGCATGTCTCCTTTAAAGACTCAATAGATGCCAAACCTCAAAGGGTGTTGTCATAGCAATGGAGGGCAACTGGAAATAATGGCTTCTTTGCTGCATTGCAGCTTTACTGGCCCTGATTTGCTGTAACTTGGTACAACAAAAGTCCTGAAAGCAGAGGGGGGTTGTGGATGTAAGGATGGGAACTGGTTGTGTGTGATAAATGAGCGTTAGGTGTTGGAGGGCTCTCACTTTGTTTCAGAGCGCTCCGTCTGCCTCCTTTAGAGACTCTGTTTCTGCGAGCTGAGACAGGAAATCCAGACCCTTTTCAAAGGAAAACATTCATGTTTTAGCAGCTAAATTACAAATGTTGATGTAATATAACGTGTGGAAGTGAGTTATCTAAAAAGGCAAAACAGTAGCTAATGCATCATAGTTGTGCAGCTAAGTTATGCTGATCATTTCCTGTTTGAGCAGAGTCGCTGAACGGCCAATCTGTGCCACACATGGTTTCCTGGATCTACTCATAAAAACAAAGCAGGCTCAATGTGAGGAAGCAGGACTCAGTCTATTTTTGCTCCAGACATTCAAGCAGGAACTTTATTTCTGGTGCAACATTACTTTCATCTAGATGTCTCAAAAAGTAGCTGAATCTAGATTTCTTCATGTAGAAAACAGCATCACCGCTCCATCTACATGACACTTTCATCCAAACATATAAGACAATTTGTTCCTGTTTATTTTTAGGATCTTTTGAAGAATAGCATCTGGTCAGGATGCCTCCTGGACGCCTCCCTGTTTTCTGTGTACGTCCAACTGGGAGGAGACCCAAGGGAAGACCCAGGACACGCTGGAGGGACTATGTCTCTCGGCTGGCCAGGGAACACCTTGGGATTCCTCCGGAGGAGCTGGCCCAAGTAGCTGGGGAGTGGGGAGTCTGGGCATCTTGGCTTAGGCTGCAGCCCCCGTGACCCGACTCCGGAGAAGCGGCTGAAAATGGATGGATGGAAGAATAGCAAAGAAAACACAAGTTCACAGATGAAATTTTATTTTAGCACCATCAAAGTGGATCTCCAAAGAGCTTATGGTTGGAAACGTGTCAAGCAGTGATGCGTCTAGGTCCATGTATGTCCTTGGAAGCAAAACATGAACGGATTTTGGTGTTTTTAACATTTACACAGTCTAATCTTGAGCTTCTGCTGTATCATCAGATACAATAAAAAGTAAAATAGTCCTGCATGATGACCTCTTCAGTGACTGCTGATTAGTGAAATGTTTTCTTTTCTGTGACAAACGTTTTGCTTTAAGCCACTGAAAGCACGACCCAGCTCCAAGCTGTAACTGGAGCTTTATGACCAGTTGTGTTGACTTAGTCCTGCGCTGACCTCGGCGCTCACACTGCTGCTAAAACACGGAGCCAGCTCTTTTTACATGTGTCTAATTGCTCTAACATGTGTGTATGTGTCAATGGATGTCTGTGCAGTCATATGGTTCTGTGTGTTTCCTGGGGATAACTTGGGGTCAGAGGTCAGAGCAGACAGGGGGTTGCGCGGGAAATCCGGGGTGTCCAGGAGGTATTTCCTTTCCTGACTGGCAGCTGTGTTTGCCCAGTTTCACCCTTCCCATTCGGAAACTGGGAGCTGTTCATCCTCAGGATGATGGTTATGGCGTCCTCCAGCAAAAGGAGTAGACACTGCTACCCCCTAGTGGTCCTGAAGGCACGGTGCAGGCATGACTTCCTGTTTGTTGGCCTCTTGTTTCCAGGTGTGTACATACTCATAACTGTGGGCGCGATCATGATGCTTGTTGGGTTTCTCGGATGTTATGGTGCCATTCAGGAATCTCAGTGTCTGCTGGGGACGGTGAGAGTTTCACGCTTTTACACCCCCCGCATTAATGCTGTCTCATCCTAAGCAGATCAGATAAATGTGTCCTGTTTCCTTTCTCTGAAGTTTTTCTTCTTTTTGGTGATCCTCTTCGCCTGTGAGGCGGCTGCAGCCATCTGGGGCTTCATGAACAGAGACACAGTACGTAGCCTACACAAAGCTCTACACACACATCTTATCAGCAGCTTTAATAAACCATCTCTGATTGTCTTCAACAGATTTCCAAAGAACTGATTAATTTCTATGATGCTGCGTACATCAAAGCGCTGGACGTCTCAGGCTCTCCCAATAAAGACGCAGCCGTCAAGGTGCTGGACGCTTTCCACACAACGGTACGTCGCCACCTGGCTTTATTGTGGGATTGTGAGCTTCACTCGTTTACTAAATCAGTGTGTTTCTGTTCTTGGTGTCCTCTTTAGTTGAACTGCTGTGGAAAAGGAAACGACACAGCTCTCTTCACAACGCTGGCTAAAACGTTGTGTCCTGCAAAAACCCTTTCTCCTCCAAATGATCAAGTACACACAATTTTCTATATTTAACCTCCTAAGCCTTGTCTGTCACCCAAACTCTCATGGACAGACTGAAAGATTTAGAACTGAAGATGGAAAATTCCTTTAAGGTCTGAATGTTGCCATCACCTTTACAAGCACCGTTTTAAACTGAGATCATAAATAATTTTACTTGAGTTGAGAAATGATGGAGTGAGAGCCATTTTGTCTCACAATATCATCAGATCTCGAGTGATGACGAGTGTTATAAGTGACTCAGCTACTAACGAGTGATCCGTGAAGAACGATTCATGTGTCTCTTCTTCTTCACCTCCTTTCTTCCTCCTCTCCAGGGCTGTCACAAGAATCTGACAGAGCTGTTCTCTAAGAAGCTCCACGTCATCGGCCTCGCTGCCTTGGTGGTTGCTGTCATCATGGTGAGCCTCTGAATCAGAACCCTGTTTTTTATCAGAACAGACACCAAACAAAAGAGTGCTCATGTTGTTTCCTTTATCACGTTCAGATCTTTGAGATGATCTTCACCATGGTGCTCTGCTGTGGGATTCGGAACAGCCCAGGAGTTTACTAGCTGTGAACAACCCAGAGATACGCCTGTGTGTGCTGCTCAGAGCACAAGATCAGTGTTTTAGATTAGAACTTGTTTTTAAAATAGCTTAATTGTACTTTTGATGAACAATTTACTTTCTGTGAGACTTTTTTTTATATTCCACAGCATCCATTTAATTATTTTACACAAAATGTTTTCTAGCAGCCAGTTGTTGTTTTTACAAATGTATAAATTGTACATAAATAACTGATGATTGTTAGCTAGAAGTGTGTGTGTGTGTGTGTGTGTGTGTGTGTGTGTGTGTGTGTGTGTGTGTGTGTGTGTGTGTGTGTGTGTGTGTGTGTGTGTGTGTGTGTGTGTGTGTGTGTGTGTGTGTGTGTGTGTGTGTGTGTGTGTGTTACAGTCAGCTGTTCAGTCATGATGAAACGTCTCACTTTTGTTAGCTTTTGAAACTCCTTGAAAAGAAAAAAAAGAAAAATCCTGTTTTTGTTTGTGTAACCAGTGTTAGGAATGCTAATAAACCATGCTAACTTTCTTTTACCTGTGAAATCTGTCCTATTTTTGCTTTTCTGATCTGAAAATTAAGAAAACTATAATCTTAGAGCAGTCTTCCCAAATGATTTAAACTAATTAAAGATTACATTTTGTTTGTATTAAACACATTTTTATTGAGCATCTCTTAATTTCAGCAGTGCTGCATTTCCTTTGAGTTGCCACAAGGGGGCAGTTTCACAATGCAGCGCCTCTTCCACAAGGCTTTTCCCAGCTTCAGCAGACTTGATTGCATTGAGAAGTAAAGACTAGTATTCCTGGCAGGGATCGCAGACACACCCAGAGCACGTTTGTTCTGACAACACGTTTACCTTCTCACCAAGTCAAAAGGGCTTTTGTTTTTAACATATGTGATAAAAAGTTTGAATTTCAGGGCCCAGGCGACACGTTTACAGGCATCTTTGCTGATCCTAGAAAGAATTGAATGAACGTTGATGCTTTTTTCTGGTTATGTTAACAGTTTATGATGGTTCTGTACTTCACTGGGGTTTCTATATTGAAGGTTACCTCATGTTTCTTGATCTCTAGTTGGTAACTTAAACGTTGCCTCTTGGCTGCAGAAGTGTGTAAAATCTGCAGAGGATGCTGATATTTAGACAACAGGCTCGATGTGGTGGGAACAGTTTTTGGCAGCAAATTTTCCTGTTTGAGAAGAAAGACGATGCTCCTGGGCACACGGTCCACCTGCTCAGTATTCTCAACACAGAACTCTCACGTTCTAGAGTTGGGATGTCACCATCTTTTTCCAACCAAGAAAACATGTTTACATTTATTTTATTGATGCTTCAGAAAATGTCCATAAAGATTCATAAAACCCTTTTTAATCTCTTTTTGAATCTTTTTCCTCATAACCCCCCCCCCCCCCCCCCAAACATTTGAGGTGTTTTTGTTAAATTTATTAAATATGACATTTAAACCAAAAGAAAATGATTTAAATTGGGCAAGTAAAATTTGGTCTTAAACAGATAAAAATGATGTAAAACAAATTAACAAACGGCCGGCTTATTTTCACACCCCTGATTAGCATTTATTAAAACTACTTTTATAATCCTGCTGTTTGCTGACGAAGCGTTCAGTCGTCTTTCATCTTCTTGAATTACAGGACTTCTTCTGTTTAGACTTGATGCTTTGATTTCACACAAAGAACTTTGATCTTTTACTACAAAACTGCAGCTCATTCACAGTTCATGTTACGGAAAAGAGAGATAGGGATCATTAGTGGAGCAGCCAGGAAATTTTAACGTAACAAATCAGAGCAAATGATGTTAGTGAAAAACAAACAGCGTGGGTTTTACTTGTGGAGGATTTGTTATTTTAACAGTGAGGAATCCGCAGTTTAAAGTTGGCAAATCACTGACAAATTTAGCAGCAGGCTCAGAAAATGTCAAGCAAATATGTTTCCATCAATATGATCAAGTTCCTGTTTTAGACTGAAGCTGCTGGTAGGTCCATTCTTCAGGACTTCCTCACAGGTGGATGTCCTGAGGGGTCACCAAGGTGTCAGGAACCCAGCTGAAGGCTGGATCTGGTTTACTGGTGACCACTGAAGTAATGGTTGCTGGTTCAGCTACTTCAGAAGTGGTTTTCAGATGGAGTCTGGATAAACAGACGGCTTAAATGACACAACAGCAGGTTTAACTGGAACTTTCTCTTTTGGTGCCACAGACAGATTTTGTGGGTCGGGAGGTTCTCGGAAGAGCTGCGTGAATCACATTTACTTTAAAAGTCGTCACAAGATGCATATTTAGCTTTAACTGTAGTCACAACATAGTTTTCAGAGCTGCATAGGGGTTGCCTTGAGTCAAGGAGGTTGCAGATTCAAATCCTGTGCAGAATCTGCATGTTCTCGTCATGCATTTGTTGGTTTCAGAGTACTCTAGTTTCCTCCCACAGTCCAAAAGTGACTAAAATGTCCCTAAATGAGTGAGTGTGTGAACTGTTGTGTGTCTCTGTGATGGACGGGCCTGTCCATGGTATCCCCCTCTGGAGAAAAACCCCCAGCTCCCTGTGACCCTAGAAGAGGCTCAGATAATGGGATGGAAGGATAAGAATAGGAAATGGGCCTTTATTAACAGCTTATTTAAATGTTTAACCAGAAACAATCAGGGCCACAAATCTCTGCAACGTTTATCTTCTGGGTCAAAATCTAAAAAGAGTTTGATCCACAGAGGAGTTGCATGACAGAAGCAGATCCCCGGGTACGACCGATGCCTCTGTAACAGTCACTGTGTCGGTTTTGTTGATGTAATGCCTCCTGGACGTGTGGCGTCATCTGCATACGGCGTCACTTCAGAGAATAAAAGATAAACCAGGTGGTGGCTGCTGATGCATGAAACAACACGCCGAGCAAATTTTACCACTTTCTCTAACACACACACACACACACACACAGATCTCTGAGTCTGGATGAAATGCAGTAGGACTGCTCCTCTGATCGTCTACTGCACTCTAAATCTGATGAACTTCGTATGAAAACAAACAAAAACAAATTGAGAAATTCAATCATAACATGTTTGAAAAAGCCGTTTTACAGAAAAAAATCATCTGAAATCCTGCAGGATTCAGACGAGAAACCAATTTTTGTCACCCAGGATCTTCTGTCTCACACCCTGACAAACGTCTGATGACTCACCTCTTGTGTGTGTGTGTGCGTGCGTGCATGTGTGTGTGTGTGTGTGTGTGTGTGTGTGTGCGTGTGTGTCTTCTTTTTTCTTTTTTGGCATTCACCTGAGAGAGTGTACCTTAATTTTTGGGGGCGGTGACTACAATTACAAGTTTTAATACTTTGTAACTCCCACTGAATCTGATCAGAGCAGGTAAAATTCTTCAGAGGAGAACATCACACTCATCGTCAGTGGTCATGGTGAGTCCGGACTTCAAACATCAACCCTTGTCTTGCTGTTTAGATTTTCTTGTTTTTGGTTAATGGAAAGCTTTTGATTGTTTCTCACAAATACGGTGTAAACATGGTGTAAAAGGTGAACTCGGGGTTGGTGGGTTTGAGAGGAGAGTGAGGACAGGTGACATCACAGCTGTTGAACTAAAGAAGAGGTTGGTTCCTTTTCAAAGATCTCAGTCAGTATAAACCCGGTGTTGACTTTGACCAGCTTCAGGGAAATAACATTCAGATAACTATCAGGACACTGATTGGCTCAAGGACTAACTTTTCTTTTCTCCTGTTTTCCCCCCAAAGGCTTTTGAAACAACAAAGGTCAGTTAGGAACTGTAAAGCTAAATTTGTTTTCTACTTTTCTGGTACATTTAGACACTAATGTCCCCCTCTTACTTTGTATTTGAGTCAATCATTCTTGTTGCTAAGCTCAGATCAAACAAAACAGACACAACGTAGGTGCGGCTCTAACTAATAACAGAGTGCAACCTGCCACACCTTGGAACAATCTTCAAACTGAACCAGGTTTATGCCAGCTTGTTAAGAACAACAAAAAAGGGGGAACTCACTCACAAAGCTCTAATTACAGCTCAAATAACGTTTCTTCTACCTAAATAATGAACCATAGAGAAAGAAATCTCCCACATGGGGATTTGATGATGAAAAAGTAGAGAAAACCCTCAACAATTCTGTGAAAATCCACCATATTTAATTCTTATTCACATGTATCTGCTCTCCTGTTGACATGATCGGAAGGAAACATCTTCTTTAAATCTAACCTCTGAATGTTCAGCTTTATTTTCATGAAGCATTTAAACCTCAGAATGTTTTAATCCCAGAGGGCGTTGCTCCACTTTTATCACAATTCCTTCAGACATTTTAATGATTAAAACGATGAGGAGCCTTTTCAGATAAACTGGATGCTAAAAGTCTGAAGCTGTTTATGCAGCGGTGACGTTCAGCACCAGTTCTCAGGTGTTTGTAAATGTGGGTAAAAGGTGCAGCTTTCAGATACAGATCTGTTAGTGATGCCGCTGATGCTATAGCAGAAAATGAAATTTGAAATGCTATCATGATGAAAACAAACAATAATCATTAAAAATGTAAAGCTTTACTTGAAATGACATATTCTACACACTCGTGAGAATATCTTAAAATTGTGTTTAAATAATAATTGTAAAACAATTCTAACATTTCTTAGTACAGTAACTGACATTTATACTTGAATAGATTACACTTAAAGTAATTAGCTAAACTGAACCGAGTTAATCTGCTCTTGATTTGCAGCTTTTGATCAGTTTTATTTAAATCATTGGTTCCTTTTTAATAATAATAATAATTGGTGTGTTTCATAGAAAGCCTAAGGATGTAAATAATGAGTAACAGGTGTGTGTTCCCAACAAAAAAATTACCAATATTGTCCTGTTTAACTTTCACTAGAGCTGCTGGGTGGACTAGATCATGATTGCACTTTTCTACAGTAATAAAAAAAGATATTTGAACATCTGTTTTATATTTTAACCCTGTCAGGAGCTTAAGTAGCATATTGACGATCGATACACAGTCACAACAGCTTGATTACTCATGCTCGTCACCAGACTGGTCACATTTAGCCGTGGAATGGCTAAATGTGACCATGTGACCATAAACTGTCCATATGACAGGAATGGTACTGTTCTTCCATCGGGAGCTGTTGAAGGTCAACTAGCCTAGTGGTGTCAGGAGTCATTCATCTGTGGCAGAGGCACACCTGGAGCTCTGAACCTTCATGAGAATGATGTGATTCCCACATGAAGCTGTGTTATTCATTCCACATGATGCAGTCTTTTACAATGTGGTGTTATCAAAATAAAACTTATAAACTGTTTATTTTTACTTTCTGCTGCATTTTAGACTAAAACAACCCTAAACCTAATGTAAATTATTGTTGCTTTCCCCCCCACATTGTTATGGTAAAATGACTATTAAACAAGCCAGAAATCTCATACAGGTTTAAATCCTGAGTTTGTCTTCTAGTGTTGCAACAAGTTAACTTGTAAATTATAAATAATAAATACTTATCGAGCTATTAGATTATTTTGCGAGCAATTATAATTTATTTTCGGGGGGATGTCTGTTATCTGGAAGGGGTCTGGACTGGTTCACCTGACTCAGGTAAGCGTTCCAACGCTCCGGTGAAGCCCCGCCCCTATCTGTCTGTCTGCCACGACTCACAGCAGCCAGTGTGTCCGAGCTGCAGTCTCTAATCAGAAGGCAGTTTGTTTGGGACTCTGAACTCTCCGCCATGAGTGCCCTGGTCTCAGAGAGCGTGTTCTTCTCCACCTTGCAGCCCAACACCTCGGTCACCACCTACGGCCTCCCGTCGGACAGCCAGCTGGAGAACGGCGGCGCGGCGGACAAGCAGCAGCGCGTGCAGCAGCAGATCCAGATGAGGCTCGCTGAGAAGTCCACACTTCCGCGTCAGAATGGGTCCAGCACGCACTACGCCATGTCAGGTACACATGATCAACCAGTTCCTTTTAGTTCCACCTGAGGACGGAGGTGTTTAGGTTTCTGGGCAAGGTCAAGCACCGTAAAAAGGAGAGGTGGAATGTGCGCCACAGGCTAAAGGTGCTGAAATTATCCCACCTCTTCCACGAATAATGAGGAAAAAGTCTGATTATGTATGTTTGTGAAAACCAGTAACACATATTATATTTCCCTAAACACAACTCCCACATGTTCTATTAAGGGATTTTTTACAAAGATAACTGAAAGAGCTCCCACCCAAAAGTTATACCTGATAATATAAAATATACTGAACTTTATACGGAACTCTTATTTCTGTCACCGTCCTGCCTGCCTTTGCCAGTCACTTCACCAAAATATTGTTGTCAGTGTTTACATGTAATTTATGCAAATTCCCATGTAAAATAAAAGGGTGTGGCCTAAGTTTTAGGGTGTGGCATTGGCACACACGTTAAAAAAGTAGAATTTTTGTGTGTTGCTGTGCTCAGGAATCAACCTTAAAGCTATTGTTTCCACAGACAGATTTCTAAAAAATGTATTTTTATGCTTCCAAACTCTGTCACAACTTGTTTATATGTTGGGTTTTATTGGTGTGTGTGTGTGTGTGTGTGTGTGTGTGTGTGTGTGTGTGTGTGTGTGTGTGTGTGTGTGTGTGTGTGTGTGTGTGTGATTCAATAAGATTGAACTGGATTTTGTGTGAAAAGCAGCCATGTTGGATTTTGTGTTGGTGGTGGTTTCACTTCACACTTCAAGTTGGCTTGCTGGAATTGGAACTCTGCGTTCCACAACCTGAAACTGGATGTAGAGATGTTGTGGTGCTGCCATCCCAACACCTTTTGCATTTAATCATGATCCAACCGATCAGCATAAACCAGATTTGTTTTGCCAGAGTTGGAACAAAAAGCAACACTGTTCTGCTTTTGCTCGTTGTTGCACGTTCACCTCAGCTGCTAACAGTTAGCCTGGTCTCTGCTTTTACACCTAAAACATATGACTTCCCTTATTTGTTTAATGAAGCAGAACCACACGGTCACAGGAATTTATAAGGAAATGCTTTTAAACAAATTTAAGTATGCTTTAGGCCTAAAAAGTTGGAAACAAATGTAGATCAGGGGCGTGTCCAGGGAGTGGCCTGGGGTAGCACATGCCACCCTTAGAATCTGATTGGCCACCCCAGGTGCCACCCTACTAAGTTCCAGTTTAAATTGACTTTACATTGTCGACAAAAGGCTTGAGTTGTAAACTCCAAAAATAGTGTGTGGTAGCAAGCACCTTTAACATTGTCTTCTAGCCCAGACATACAGAACATTTCTGTAGTATTAATATTATTTATTATTTTTTCACATTCACATAAATAGTATTGAGTCCCACTCAACTCCAGTTGGTGGCAATAATGCAACAAGAAGTAACTTGCTAACCACCACAAAACTAGAAGATGAATAGAAAAAAATGGTGATTGTGCAATGTGAAACTCAAAAATTCACTAGAAAGTAAATAAATAATCAAATTGTGTAAATAAATAAATAAGGATAACCATTGGTGCCACCCATGCATAAACAAGTGCCCCACATGGGCCACCCCATTTTAAAAGTCCTGGACACGGCTCTGATGTAGATAGATTAAACAAACTCAAATGTGTGTGTGTGTGTGTGTGTGTGTGTGTGTGTGTGTGTGTGTGTGTGTGTGTATGTGTGTGTGTGTGTGTGTGTGTCATAAAAAGAAAATAAAAAAAAGAGAGAGAATCAAAGTTGTTTGATTTAAATAAATAGAAGGAAAATAAATGCACGAGGATATATGAAAACTCAATAAACCCTTGAATTAAAATTTTAGGGAGAATTTTTAGTAATTTTACTAAATATACTTGATTATTTTTTGAAAAAAGCTGAATACTTTCTCTTTAAACTAATTTTACTGGAATGCAGCTCAAATGACTCAGCTGAGTAAATCGTGCGAAAGTGAGCCTTAATGTGATCGTGTTTGCTTTGCGACGGGCGAGGGAGGTATTCTCTCTCCTTCTCTTTGTGTGTGTTTGCACTGTATGTGTGTGTGTGTGTGCAGAATTCCTGTCTGATTTGTTTCTCATCAGCTCTTTGGGGATTTTTTTATGTCTTCAAGCAGCAGCAGCTCTACTGTGCATCTTGTCTGTGCACATGACAAACGGTTAATGTGTAACAAGCCTAAACAAGTGCTGCATGAGCATGGGGAAGGTTAGACTTTCCGCGTCAGGGATTGAATTTCACTTTTTCCTCGGATAAAACGAGATGAGGGTTATTGTGAGAACCAGCTGTTTGTTGTCAAAACACGTCACGTGCAAAAAAAGATGTATAGATCTGACGTAATCACAACATGCCCTATAGGTTAAAAAATAATTGTAAGTCGCTTTGGGTAAAAGCGTCTGCTAAGCACATAAAACATAAACGTAATCCTAATGTACACACCACCATTCAGCAGGAAAGACTTCTTAAAGTGGATTAAAGAATTCTTTGGGTGTTTGGAAGTATTCTAGTTGCATCTAATGAATGATTTATTACAGGTAGGTGGTTGAAAACAGGTTAAACAGATATCTTGGTGTGTGTGAAACTTGTGTACCTGCGTGTTTCTGCTTGCTTCCTTCATGTCCTATTAAGTCATCTGACTTGAGCACACATCAGAGATCACACATCAGCCCAGTGTTGGGCCTTTTACTGAGTGTGACCTCTGAATTCTGGTTTGCTTGGATGAAAAAGGTGAGCCTTTTAGTCACTTTTCAAGTTCTAGCTTTTCCCAGAGGCGCTGACGATTCCTGCCTCAACAGGCTGTTCTAGCTGTTTTTAAATGCTGAACGCATAGGGGACGTACTTCATGTCTTCTGTTTTTTTTAACACTCCTACCTGTCCAGCACCTTTAGCGGGCGTCTTTCTTGTTTGCCCGAGGCTTTGTTTTGAGGAAAACATGCAGTGGAACAGTAAGACTTTATATCCTCTGAAACCTCAGTAAACAGACGAGAACGCCAGCTTTGCGTCACACATGCACCAAACCTGTCTTTGTAACTTCTTATCAGTGGTTTGTTGCTTCGGAGGATTTAATTGTGAACATGTTTGCAGATGAGGAAAACAAAAACAGTCAGAGGAGTTTGAAAGGAATGTCTCGTCTTAGCTGGAAGTCAGAAAAGAAAAAAATAGACATTGAGTCTTTATGACTAACCCTAACTTCCAAAGACGATCTAGGAGGAAAATGGAGTCTGAGGTGTTTTATAGTGCATGTCTCTGCTGCTGCGTTCAGGTGTGTTGGGCGTAGTCAGGGTTGGGCTTGGGTCACGTCAGAAAACATGTCACTCTTTCTCGGCTATACCAACTAGTTTTTAGTTGTGAGCCCCCGGGGAACGACAGGGGCACTTCAGAACCTTCTTTTCTCACATGGGAAGTGGAAAAACCGCAACTTCTCAGGCCCAACCTGCACTGGAACCTGCAGCGCTGTCAGCGCAGCCCTCCTTTTTAAGGAGGAGCTGCTGCTTTAAACCAGGATCAGGACGACCTGGATGTAATACGCTCAAGCGTTTCAACCCTTGGGAGGAAAGACGATCGAACCTCTCTGTTGAGAGGTTTATACTTAGAAACTGTGGAAGACATCCAGGTCCTGGCAGAACATTCCCACCCTGGAACAACAACTGTCCCCAAACCAGATCTAACCAGCTATCGTTTAAAACCTAAACCAAACCTCTAGGGTAGAAACGATCTCAAAACCAGCTCTTTCTTACGTTCTCAACATGTTAGCTGTCTGAGAACATAGTTGAGGTAATAACTTTGAATACTGTGTTTTAGTTACTTTGTTGATTTATCCATTTATTGGTGATTTTGTGTCATTTTCACTCCTCTTTGGAGAAAAATTCCTCCCTGAAGTGACCTGAATAACCCCGGGACTACAACCTGCCTTTGTTGAGTGTTTTACCGTGTCGGTCTGCTCGAGCTGCAAGAGGCTGACGGAGATACAGATAGGAATGTATTTGCATACCCACAGCTTCGTGCACTTGTAATGAGCCAAGTGCAGTGTCGCAATAAACTAATCCTTCAAGCAAGATGTTAGCTGTTGTTAAAGATCGATAAAGCTGCTGGTTTCAAACATGCTGTTGTTTAAGTTTAAACTATTCTGCATTAAAAGGCTTGTTTTCTTCAGGATTTATCTCACGGCCAATGACAGATCTGATCAAATTAGCTTTTAGTTGTTGTGTAACATATTTTTATTAAACTTATTGCAAACATTTAATGTCCCTTTCAGAATGAATCAGACGTTAAACAAAGTGTAGTACTCACTCCATATTTTTAAGCTTGTATTTGGGAATAGCATCGGACCCAACTGTGTTCTAGTTGCAGGTGTGAATCCCAGTAGGGTTTGCTCATAGGCCAGGCTATTGAGGTCAAGGCTGCAGGAGCATATCAGTACTTTGGACATTGATCTGCTTTATTCCTCTTTCTTGGAACATGGAAATTCAAACTTCCAAGTACAAACTAACACCTTTTTTAGAGGTGATATCTGAAGTGGGTTCTTGAACAATCAAAACTTTAGCTCGGTTTGGAGAAACTCGGTGCTAAATGTTTTCTACTGCCTTAAAATTGCTTTAATATTTTTAATGATCTCAAAACGGTTCATGTAAATGTTGTTTCATACATTTTTTACACCTCCACAAATTAGATTTTGCATCGTTGTTAGAAATGAAAACATTTGAGCACAAACGAAGCTTCTTACTCTGATCAGTTTTTAGTTGTTCTGCAGGAAAAATCACACAAAATGAGACATTTAGGCAAACATAACATTTATAAAATAACATGTTCATAAACTGTCACGAGATCCTTTTAGATCTGACTACCGTGCTTCAGTTGGCTGTGCTTTAGCCATGTTGTAAAGAGGGAAAGATGCCTGATCCTCTGTTGCATAATCAAAATTACTTCAATATTTTTTGCACTCACAAAAGTAGACTTTAAATAACAGGTTTAGCCACACACAATGCTTAATTGGCCTTCTTGTAAAACTGAGTCGATGCTCCCATACCCTGGTCCAGAGCCGAGTTAAGTCACTGACTCGGTTAGACGACTGTTTTTGTGTGTCTTTGAAGTGACTGGTAACCAGAGACCTCGACCCTGTTGAGAGGTCCGGTCCTGTCGGTACAGACTCTGTGCGTTCAGGCTCTAATGCAACGGGACACCGGCTATTCAAACTGTAAAGGCTTTCATGCTGCTGCCATGAGATCTTTTCAGAGTGACATTTAGCAGATTACAGTTATTTTAGTTTATTTAAGCTGAAATCTGTTTTTATCAGTTGTTACAAATCAAGGTGAATTATTTTGATGTGTTTTATAATTTAACCAAGAATAAATGTGATGTTAAAAGAATGTATATTATAATAAATTAAGTTTTTTTTCAGACTACGGCGGGTCATCCACAACCAAATACAACACCTACAACCCAAATTTCAGCTCTAAATCTTCCTATATGTACACCTCCAGTTCCAAAGCGATGGTAAGTAAATCAGTATTTTCTCATTTTTTTATGTTTTAAGAATGATGTAGCTGAAAAGAAATCAGTGTGTTATTTAGGTGCGTGTTCCAGAAGAGTGAAAAACAAGAGTGTAACCTGGACAAAACAGGACTTGTGTGACATTTCACAGTAGGCTGTGAGTTTTAAAGTCTTCCCTCTAGATTCCAGCATTTTAGTGTCACGGATGTTTGAGTGCTGAGTGTGAAAGAAACCAGACGCTGTGGTGAAAATCCCTGCTAGTGTCTAATGATTGAGGAAAAGGAAGTAAAGTGTGTTGCATCCAATTTTACCAAATGAAATGACTCACCGTCCACACGGTAGTTTATAGTGAATGATGGGGCATGCACATCAAATCATAACACTCATTCCTGTCTTCATTCTCAGGGCCCACGTGCAACGGTCAAGAGAGATTTCAGCAGCCGCTCCGCTGCTCCAGACATCTCCCAGTTTCAGCGGATGAGCATGGGGGTAGGAGGAGGAGGAGGAGGAGGATATTACCAAGAAGGAATACAAATGGGCGGCTATCAAGGGGTTGTGAGACAGCCAAGCAGAATGGACCACGATGCCATATCCATGCATTCAGTTAAAAACTTGTCCTCTGTAAATCCTTGGATGATGGATGGCAGCGATGCTGGCAGCCTGATCTCCGAGCGGGACGCCACTTACGCCCGACATACTCAGAGCGCAGCAAATGGCTTCAGCAGCCAAATGAGTCAAGTTAGGCAAGGAGGGGGCGCCATCAGCCAACAGTCCATACGCACAACTCTACCCCGTGGTGCTGGAATGATGGGTGGGGGGGCTGAAAATTTTCAACAGCAGCTATCCTTCAAAGGCCCAGCCCACCGCACCATCAGCAGGATCACAAACAGAAACCGGACGAGCGTGGGCTCCATGTCCGGGAATCTGATGACCTCAAGTGCTAGCAACATGGGCGGAGGAGACCGAGTGGATCGAGGGTTTATGTCTGGTTCCCAGAGCAACCTCGCAATGCAGCGTCAAGGGAATCTGTCCCGCAGCATGTCAATCAGAAGCATGCAGAGTGTTGGTAGGGGTGCAGACATTTTCGGGGATTTTGACCCGGATGAGGAGATGCTTCAGGGGTAAGGAGTTAAAAACATTCAGTCAAATCCAAGTTTGATCGGCTCTTTCTATTCGTTGTTGCTTTTTATGAAATATGGACAATTTCGACTATCACAAGTCATTATCTTGTTCAAACTGTCAAATGCTGAGCTGTAGTCCTAATGATTCAGTCTGATGAGTAATTAAGTGATAAAACACTGATGGTGTTGCAACGTTTCTGCATGAAAATAAGGGGAGTGTTTCTTAACAGCTGCACTGGGAGGTGGCTGTAAAGTGGAAGGACTGGTTTAAGGTGTGGCAGTTCAGTTTCAGGCTTTGCATTTCACACATCCCATAATGAGTGGTTAGAGGAGAGGATGTGCAGAAAAAAAGAGTTTATCACTGACTTTTGGAACAAATTATTCTGTTTAAATGTATTTATTTGCTTACTTTGCAGCTTCAGTGGCATTGACATTTTTAAAGCCGTGGAGTACCTCTCCGACCCTGATCCCAGTTTTCAGTCCCTGGGTGCAGCATTCATTCAACATGAGTGTTACAATACCAAAGAGTCAAAAGATGAGGTACTGATTCAACTTGTGGCTTGAATTCCTTTCTGGCTCTTTCCTCTTTGCATTCTTTTACAGATGCAGCCATGAATATGTGTTTTCTTCAATGGTTGACAGCCATTGATTGATGTCTCCTCATTTGTGGTAACACCAAAGAAACCATAAACTATATATCTCCAGCATCCCTTTCATTCACTGTGTTCTATCAGAATCAGACCTTTGTTATATAACTATAAGAAGTTATTCTCCCTGCTTTTCAAATGATTTGCTTGTTGACAGCAACTGTTGCCAAATAAAGAGGCTCAGACTTACAAGAACTTTAGCACATTTTCAGGTTGAATCACTCTGAAATAGTTTATGACACAAGGACTTGTGTATTGCGACATTGCCCCACATTTATGCTAATGTTGTGCAGACTTTGTCGCAGTGTAGTCATGAATTTGAATTTTGCTGCGCCCAAAACTTCAGATTCTCTTTTTTTTTTATAGTTACATCTTAATTTCCTTGGTCATTAACCACATTCGTTGGTCCAAGGAATCCAGATATAACTGTGGCAATATTTCCAGAAACTTTTACTGCAACACATGACTCAGGCCCTGTGACTAAAACTAGGAAATGGATAATCTTCCTAGATGCCCAGATACCAACTTAAACTATCTGAAACAAGTCTTGTCAGTTAGGAATCAGATTTGGAAAGTTTTGACCTAAATGCTAGTACTTTATAATAAATAAAACAAATATAAAAACTAGGGCTGTCAATCGATTACATTTTTAATCGCAATTAATCACATGTTCAATGGTTAATCTGTGATTAATCACAGATGGTAAGTGTTCCTATTAATCAAGTTTTCATTACTTTATGAGCAGACAATCATACTTCCTTAATGCAAATTATGTTTATTATTGCAACAATGACAAATATCCAGAGTGCTCTATATGCTACAAAATTATGCAAGTAGTCCATCTATATTCAGCAAATACTCCCAACAAAATGTAGCTTAGTCTAACCTACCACAGGGCTCCTCAGACCTTTGTCTACTGCTGTACTAATCAGCCTGCATCAGAATTTAATCTCCGCGCTAACTTTTGTGTTGTCAACTCTGCTGTCAGGAACAGATTTAGTGTGAGAAAATGTCCATGGAAAAGATTGCCCATTGTAGTTGGTCATTGCAGAACTTGACTCTTGGTACATACAGTATCTCTATAAATGAACATTTGTATGTTTTGCACACATTTTTTTCTTGTACATTGTTTTCTAATTCAGTGATTGCCAAACTTTTCAGCTTCAGATCGGCAAAATAAGAATTGTCAAGACACGCAATCCCAGAAGTCTCTTGATTTGACAGTACAATCATAAAAAGCTAAATAATTCAAGGCATAAAGAAAACTGCCGTTTCACTTACTTCCATGTATGACTGATTATTTGAGTTTTTGTACAAATTATACCAGAAATATAGCTTCAGGAATTGTTTTCAACTTTATTTTGATATCTGGAAATCATCTGAAGATCCCATGTGTAGTTCTTGGTGACACACAAAGGAGTCCCGACCCCAACTTTGGGAACCAGTGCTCTAATTAATGTTACTCTGTGTTTAGTCTGTGCTGCCATGAGTGAATGTCTTCACTGTGGGATCAATAAAATTATGAAATCAATCTCAACCCATAGTGACCCATAGCCCTGCTTGGACCCAGAGATGGACTGTGTGCTCAGCACCAGCGAGCAACAGACTTTCAAAACAATAATTTAGCACATGCTAAAAAAATTAAGTGATAAATTTGCTAATGTACAACTAACACGTTGACTTTTACTGTCTTTATAGAAACACTAAATCATTAATGACACAAATTCTTTGTTTGGTTTCATTTTAAGGTTCGTGAGCATGGCGGCATCCCTGAGCTGGTGAAGTTGTTCAGCAGTGACAATCAAGAAGTGAGACGTTTTGCCACCGGCGCTGCCCGCAACCTCATTTATGAGAATGCTGAGAACAAGGCACATCTAATCGGCAACGGTGGAATCGCAGAGCTGGTCAAAGCGCTCAAAATCAAAGATGATAATGAACTTGCAAAGAACATCACAGGTAAAGAAATCCCACTTTATGGTTAAAACTGCAAAACGTATTTAGGGAAGCCTCTGATGATGCTGGGGCAGAAATCAGAATGGACTGTTTATTGTATTAGCACCAAATAAGGAAAAATGACACAAAAAAAGCACAACGAATCTCCATTTAACGCCCACATTTAATTGGAAATATCTGTAAACTAGTTTTCTAAATGAAATGTGATCTTCCCAGTGTTGTTGAAAAGAGCAGAATGCTGAAGAGAGGGTGGTGTGCCTGAGTGCACGGTGAGTAGGACGGGAGAAGGTGGAGCTGCTACCAGTGTTTGTGGGGCAACGGTGGCAGGGGAGTTAAGTGCCCTCACCATAACCAGAGGGTTGCAAGTTTGAGCCCCACTTAGCCTTTCTCAGTTGTTGTGTCCTTGGGCAAGACACTTTACCCTCCTAGCCTGCTGGTGGCGGTTGTTGGGAACAGTGGTGCCTGTGTACGGCAGCTTTACTTCTGTCAGTGAGCCCCAGAGCAGCAGTAGCTGCAATGCATCACCTGCATGTGAATGTGTGTGTGTGGGTGGATGACTGTGTTGTAAAGCACCTTGGGGGGTTGTAGAACACTCGAAAGGCTGTCTAAACCTTTAAAACTAGTCCATAACTGCTCCTTTTAAAAATCAGAGACATTTTTACTTTTCCCACTATGATTTTGGTGAGACAGCAGTTATTAATGAAGTTTTTTTTAATATCTTTATATCATGCATCCATATATGTTTTATGTGGCTATAGTGACTCTACAGTTAGTAAAAGGTCTTTTTTGTTCATAGTTTATCCCCATTCTTATACACAACCTCCCCAAATAAAACTGTTATCTGTGCTGCTGTACAGTCGTCTGGAGGAAAAGGATACTTTGGATTTCAATGACGTCAGAATCAGGTGGAATGCATTATTAAATGTTTTTGCAGCAGGGGTATATATACAGACATTTGTCTCAGCAGTGGCTGCACATTGAAACCTGTGTGATTTGTACCACGCGAACGTCATGTTCTGATCTAAATAATCTTGAACAAATCTGAGCTCAGTCTTTTGTTGAGCACACTGCCTGGCTCCATGGTAAGAAATCAACGGAACGTTTTTTACAGAAAAAACAGTCCAAACCATCTCTTTATGGCTGCCTACTGTGCCAACACACTGAATGGGCACCAGGCATACATGAAGTCACGTTTTTCCTTCTGTGCAGGAATACTGTGGAATCTTTCAGCCAAAGAGGAGTTTAAGAAAAAACTGGCAGAAGAAACACTGGATGACCTTACTAATTCCATCCTCGTTCCACTGACTACCTTTGATGAAGACAAAATGGATGTTAATCCGTTTCAAGAGACTCCTTCTAATTCAGAAATATTCCTCAACAGTACAGGATGCCTCAGGTACAGCAATCCTATAAGGAGCCTAAGTCTCCTCCCTTTCCGGTCCCCAGGAGAACCAAACAACAAATACAAGTCAACAGGGTTAAAAGAGCCATTTTCGCACATGGATTGCACATATGTTGTACTTTGATTTAAATGAAAAGTAATGATGTGTGTTTCAACCACACCAGTCACATACTTTGAGATTTATCAGCTTGTAAAAGTTTGTAATTAGCAGACGTCGGCACGTCGTGTATATGACGCCACCTCTCCTCTAGCGTAGCTGCTACTTACCACATGGCCATATTTACAGTGGTTCTTTCCTCCTGAAGGAAGGATTTGAATTTTGCTGAACTTGAAGCCATTTTTCCTCGGCTCCTCTCCGTGTCTGGTTCAATGACATTATTTTGGTGATGCGCATTTGTAGTCCTATTTTCATACAAAATCTGTGTCATCAAAATGTGTCTTTAAATTCACGGACATCACACGTGAAATCCATGAACGGAGTTAGAAAATGGTGTCTTTAGCTCCATTGACTTGCATTCACTTTTTCGTTCTTCCAGGGACCCATGGTCCGGAAGTAGATGGGTGTGATTTAGGCTCCCTATGTCAAGGCTTGGAGTCCTTCCAATGTAATTTTGTGTGTGTTTTGAGCGTGCTTCATTTTTGTAAGAAATGCCAGTTTTGAAATTTACTAATTTGACCTTTAAATATTGGTAAATTATTTATTCCATTGAGTCAATGGAGTCCATCATTATGGATAGTTCTTAGTAAGGACTATCCATACTGGTGGACAAACACAGCAGAAGCTGAAAAGAATTATTAGGGTGTAAAAATGTCACTATCACAGTCAAAAGGCCGGAATATATTGATGACCAAATTAGGATGTGAATGGTTTGCTCCAACTTGGCTTCCAAGTGTATTTTTTTCCTGTTTCAGCTGCTCTGGTTTTACTAAAAAAATTGAATATCATGCAAAAGTTCATTTATTTCAGTAAATCAACTTGAAAGGTGAAACTAATATATGAGATAGACTCCTTATTTGCTATAATTTTATGAATATGGCTTATGTAAACCCCAAATTCAAAATCTCTATTAGGATTTTAAACGAAATGAATAAAACAAGAACTTTAAATGGAGAAATGCTTCAGCATCTTAAAACGTTTAATCGTACATGAGTACCAAGTATTGGGGTTGACCACTTGCTTTGACTGAAATAAATGAACTAATTTTTTCAAATTTTTTGTGTTCACCTGCATCTCTGTCACATTAGCATTTGTTGCTCCTCTCCCTCTGAAAGTGTCAAATCACCTAACACCTGACACAAATATGGCATGGCTCTGATCTTAAGTTGCTTTCATTCTGTTCCGATCTAGAGATTTCTTTGTTGATGCCCCTACACGTCACTGCTGCTGTATTTCAAAGTGACACCATGTATGGACCTGACACTCTAAACACCTTCATGCTCTGTGTGCAGGAATCTGAGCTCTGGGAAAGATTCAGTCCGTAAAAAAATGCGTGAAACCAGAAATCTGGTGGATTCTTTGGTGAGATACACGAAGTTCGCCCTTTTAAAAAACCTCATAGAAGAAAAGGTGAGAGTGGAAGTGTTTTCTTTTTCTCTGTTTAAACGCTGGCCTGCTCTCTGTATTCATCTGCCTGTGTTTGCATCTCAGGGGATGGAGAACACAATGTGCATCTTGAGGAACCTCTCCTACCAGCTGTATTCCGACCTCCCTCCATCTCTTGATGCACGCCTGAATGGAAACACCCGAGATCAGGGCAAGCAGACGCAGACGTCGACTGTCGGCTGTTTCACTCCTCGGAGCAAAAAGGCACAAGTATGTGCACATGTCCGCATTGACAAAACTGTTGTTTTTTTTTATACTGACTCCGCGTGTCGTCCATTAAATGACAGAAAAAGAGTGACACTCGACTGGTGGAAATTATAAAGGAACCGAAGGATGTGGAGTGGCTGTGCAACACTAAGATTTTGTCTTTGTACCTGGAAGTTTTGAGGGAATGTGAAATCAACTCCACAGTACGTGAGGCAACCCTGGGAGCTTTACAGAACATCACATCTGGAGATTCAAAGGTGGGCAAAAATAACAAAAAATATATATATACAATGTTTTGTATCATGCTTAACCCTTGTTACTGCACCTTGCAGTGGGCCTCTGTGCTGTCCAGCTGGTTGGTGAAGAAGGAGCAGAAATCTATGTATACCCTGCTCGATCTCACGCGAGGCGAAAGGGATTCTGAGCTGCGACCGCTTACAGGCTTGTTTAATAATCTGAGCCGCAAAGACTACGATAATTTTGGTTAGTCTTTATTTCATATTTGCACATTTTACTGAAGAGTAAAAGTACATTAATTACTTTTAGATCTTTTAAATTAGTGTTGTGTTTATAAAATACTTTAATGAGTATTGGATTTGTCACTTTGTGCTCAATTTTATGGTGAAAGGTAAACTACTCCTTTAGATCATGTAATTGTAGTTTAAAACGACATTAAATGTAGTTTAAAGGGTTTTCATTCCCGAAATAAATGAGCTTTAACAGTTTTAATTGCTGGTTTAAATGTTGAGAGGAGAAATAATGGCAAACGTGAGAACACCTTTATTTTTTTATATAAAATTAGATGATTTGGGCCATTTTTAACATTTTAATTTTTTTTTCTTTTGCATTGTTTTATTCAGACAAGGCTGCGATTAAGACTCTATTAAATAAGCTACCAGAAGATGCAACGAAACGTAAAGGGAACTCCAGTGAAGTGGCGGTTAACATCTTGGCTACTCTCAATAACGTGGTGGTTGGCAACATTGATGGTGCCAGAAACGTCCTCGCTGCTTCTGGATTAGAAAAACTGATGACACTGAAGAAGGAGCACGGCAGCAGGTCTGTAATGTCTCAGCTGACTGATACTGCACTGCTTTATTTCTCACATCACATTCAGTCTGTTAATCGTATCACGTGTTAACATGTGAGGACGTGTTTTCCAGCGCCGACGGGATCAAAATAGCCAGAGCAGCAGCCACAGTCCTCTCCAACATGTATGTTTACAAGCAACTGCGCAGCCAACTCTTGAAGGTAAGAGGCAACTAAATGAACCAAGATATGACTTGGAAAACAACAAGGATGATTTACAGTAAGTAGTTTGAAAAATGAACATAATGGAAGTTTAAAAGCCTTATTGAACATGTCCGGTGACGTCTTAGTGCATAACCCAGATGGGGAAGTCCCAGGAGGTAGGATTCCACACTAAAAGCTCCATTGGAGTTTTAAAGATGGAGTATAAAGATGAAGAAGCTTCCGCCTCTGCAGGATTGAGTATGAATGAGCTAATAAATCACGACTGGAATCAAATATGCAACATTAGCTGTTTTTTCTGAAAATGGATCTGGGATGTTTGAAGATAACAGCTGAACATTTTAGAAATATAAGTGTACTAAAACATTTTCAAAAGTGCTTTAGCGCCTTTATTATCACTCGGTGATAATAAAGGTGCTCAAGCAAATCTTCAAAGCAAGCTAGATTTTAACCTGTTTAACCCTAACGCCCCCCAATTGTGGGCCTCTACAGTTTCATGTCCCAAACATCTACAACTGTCCACATTCTCCAAACACAACTAAAACCACAATCAAACAGCCCGGATGGGAAACGAGGCCATTTTAAATTGTATTAAATTAAGATACAATGATGTTTGAACTTTATTTTAGAAGAGCATCTGGCCTTCACTGGTGTCTGGTGGGGAAAAAAACGAACACATTTAGTTGAGGACTCCTGGAATAAATAAAACAATTGACTAAATTTCCTAAATGGAATTTGAACTCACAACCTCCATCCTGTTGACACTTTCACACAGGGCAGCTCTTCTAAAATAAAGCTCAAGTATTATTTTATCTTAATGTATCAGAAACCAAAAATTGCTTTGTTTACAATCTAAACAGTTTTGATTGTATCTGTGCTCGGGGAATGCAAACAATCACTGACACTTGAGACATGAAACTCCAAAGGTCCCCAATTGGGAGGCGCCAGGGCCCAAAGAAAAAAGGTCTAGGGCCTAAAGGGTTGAACAGTCACTAAACTCTCACCCCTCCTTCTGGCTATCATCCCTAGACGACACCCCTCTGGTACCAGAACCCACATTGCCACACTAACAGAGAGAACGCCAAATCCACATGTTTTACGTCCGAACGTCCTTTTATTTCCTTTTTCTTTTTGGGACTCGTTAGTTTGTCCTAAAGTTAAAGTGGTAGCAGCTGGCTGTTTCTCCTTCTTTGATATTGAACGGAGAACCTCTCACACCAGTGGTGTTCTGCTGCAAAATGTGCAAGCACTTAATGAGTGGTGGATCCAGGAAAATGTTCCAGAGAGAACCTCTTTCATTTCCTCTTCTTTTTTATTTCCACATTATATTTATGTTAATGACCATTATTTTGAGAAATAAAATTTGTTCTGACCAGACAACTGGACTCCTGGTTTGGTAAATTCATCTCAAATTTCAAAATTATTTTAGCATTTCTTCCAGAATAAATTTTATAACACTTACTACACTCCATATTTTATATAAATAACCTTCATTTTAACTCATTCACTGCCAGCCGTTTCCTGATCGCTAACGGCCTTCACTGCCAGCGTTTCTCACCATTTTTACTGTTTTTTTAAGAGTCACAGAACGTTGCGCTCTAGCATGATGTCGATGCCAAAACAACCTAAACAAAGAGGAGACTCACCTCTTACATCAGGAAGAAGCTGTGTGTTTCGAGCGTTATCCGTTCTTTCATAATCCGTTGTTGAATTGTGATCGGCAGATGCTTTTCCGGTTCGCGCCTCACTTTTTTTACAGGAACGGCCCAAAACGATCTCCAAACACATGGATGTGTTGCTTCCTGATCACGTGATCTGTGACGTATGCGGATGAAGATCGGCTTCAGGGCTGAGATGTTTGTTCTCTCAGCGCGGGGGCTCATTCCGATGCTCAAGCAATAAAAAATGCAAATGACGACTTTAGTCGTCATTGGCAGTGAACGGTTGGATCTAAAATGACGACTTTAGTCGTCAATGGCAGTGAATGAGTTAAGGTTATTTACATAAAATTCAGCTTATTTGCATCGGTAAACACCATGCATCTGATCTAAAGATCAGATCTACACCAGCTCAGTGTGGTTTAGTTGCCTAGTGGTAAGAGTGGCTTCCCTGAGACTGGGAGATCGTGGGTTCAAATCCACAGTCGGCTCATACCACAGACTTTAAAAATGGGACCCAATGCCTCTATGCTTGACACTCAGCATTAACGGGTTGGATTGGGGGGTTGAACCACCAAATAGTTCCCGAGTGCGGCCTTGTCTGCAGTTTACCGCTCCCCCAGGGGATGGGTCAAATGCAGAGCAATAATTTCACCAGTGTGTGACGACTAATGGGACTTTTAACATTAAAGCCCAATGTAAATTAACTTTGTGAATCATAAACATGAATGTTATGTCGGATCAGTCGAGGGCTGGGTTAACAATGATCACCACTGGTGCATTTGACCTACAGGGTGCTGGTGGAAATTGGGCTATTGTTGGTCAGCGGTGTAGAGTACGAAGGTGTGTTTGTAGGCAGAGAAAAAGAGGAAATGCAAGAGTGTAAAACTGAAAATCTGGACTTAGTTTTGGAACTATGATGCAGGGAAGCAAGGTGGATGTGGTCAGAAAACCAGGTAGCAAGGTTAGAAGTTTAGGAGAAGGGTATAAGTTGTTCTACCATGGTCTAGAAACAAAGAGGAATGGAGTAGGCATCGTCTTTAAGGAGAATGTGAGCAGAAATTCTGGAGTGAGCTAGATGACTTAATGCAGCAGATCCCCAGGGTGAAGTGAGCTGCAGCAGCATGGTTTCATGCCAAGAACGACCACTACAGAAGCTTTTTTGCTTTAAGGATAGAGATGAAGTAAAAAAGAAGGTCAGAGGGAGCTGCAGTGCTTCTTTGTAGAGTTCGAAAAAGACAATGACAGGGTGCCAAGAGAGGAGCTGTGGTGCCTGAGGTCTGAGGAGCACACGAGAGCTGTGAGACATCATTGAGGTGCGCTGCAGGAGTGACAGAGGAGTTCAAGGCCAAGTAGTGCTCCCTGCAGAACCACAAAGGCGGAGCTGCACCAGAAGGTGGAGCTGCACCAGAGTCAGCCCCGCCCATTCCATCAGAGTCCGTCCAATTCCTTCCAGTTGTCAGACTTGATAGTATTCTGGAACCAAAGAGGGTGTTATAGCTAATATCATCCAAAATGCAAGATTGAGGACGGAGTTGAGAGGTTAACTGAACAGTTTTTGTAAAGGTTTAGTCTAATTAAAAATCTAACTTTTGGAACTTTTTATCATGTTATATTGTCATTTCCTCATAAGAAACATGCCAAAGCCATTTTTGGCCTCATTCACACATTTTCCTCTCATCTCAGCTTCAATTTGGTCTCCTCCCCCGAAGTGTGTCTGGTCTTGGTTCTCAAATCTGGATATTCTGTGAATTTTCTGACAAATTATTTCTAAAATGACTTCTACTGAGACACCGCCGGAAAAACCATACATCCCATCTACAAAGACACACTGGATGGCACAATTACATGTAACGCCACTTGTTTGTTATCAGCCGTAGTGGTGAAGTGGTTATGCAGTCAGATTGGCATGCAGTTTTGTGCAGGTTCGCCTCCCAGTATCGGCTCAAACTTTTCTTCTTCCTTTCTTGCTACACTTGCCAGTACTATGTTTACAACCATTTATTGGTATACCATTTAAAATATAATGACTAATGTGTTTTTTTTTTTTATTTATTTGTTTATTTAGCCAGTGTGAGTCCATTTGTGAGCAGAGTTTCAACTAAAATGCTGTTTAGGAACGACCAAATTCAAAGAACATTTAGAGACATGAACATTTTGCAGAAAATAAACATTACAACTAAAATATAAACAAATTAAATGTTTCTGCTGGCTAAATAGATTGCTGCCGACCCCACCGAGAGTCCAACCAGCATCAGCTGAGAGGAAAGCAAAACTTAAGTCAGAAGATCTTGCCACTGGACTACCAGAGCCCACACAACAAGCCTTAAATACTGTTGCAGGCCACTTTTATTGGAGCGGCTGTGGGCATATATTTGCTAAAAGAAACCTTTTCGTTTCGGGATATATTCAGGCTTTGTCATGTAGCAAGTTATATTTATCTTGTTTAATTGGAGCATAGAACATAGCATTAACAACTGTAAACTAGTAACAGCCGTAATTCATGTGGGTCAGGTTAGTTTGCGATAAGGTTAAAAAACAAAAACCGAAGAAGTCAGTGGGCTAGGCTGAGTTTGCGTGAATGGGCGGGGCTGACTCTGGTGCAGCTCCACCTTAGTAGTTCTGCAGCGAGCACCCTCTCTTCAAGGGGGAGGTGGGACTGTATCATGGATCGGCTATGCTGCCCCTTCTTGTTTGCTTCGGTGATGACTGATAGATGGTGGTAGACAGAAGTCTCCATGGACTACGATGTTTGTGGATGATATGATCTGCAGTGAGAGCAGGGTGCAGGTACAGGAAAAGCTAGAGGTGGAGATATGTACAGGAAAAGAGATGAATCAAGATTAGTCACAGCAAAAAAGAGAATGTGTGTAAATGAGGAGGACACAAAGGAAATGGTAATGTTACAGAATGTAGAAGGAAAGAAGGTAGAGGACTTACAGTACTTATGGTCTATGATCCAAAGCAAGAGAGTGTATGAAAAGAGGTGAAGAAGCGTGTGCAATCTTGTTGGAATGGGTGGAGAAGGCTGTCAATTGTATGTATACAGCACATTTTACTGTTGCTGACACACTCCAAAGTGCTGTACAAGACAGAAGCAAAGGCAACAAACTGCACTCAACAATGAAACAGTAGTGGTGAAATACAAATACATAGAACACAGCGGTACTAAAACCCACAGATATGAGAAACAATAAAAGTGGATGAGAATACAACAATAAGCTGTTCTATGAGTCGTCCTTAGATGCAATGGAAGGCTGTTGCACAGCCTAGGACCAGCCATTGAGAAAGACAAGGCATCTTTATTTGTATAGCACATTTCAAACACAAAGGCAATTCAAAGTGCTTTACAGAAGTAAGAACAGCAAACAGAATAAATCAAACAAAGAAATGCAGATTTTTATTTTAGATTCAAAAAACAGATGAAAGTCATAGTCAAAAGGGTAGCAGTTACAGTGCAGAAAATGCAGCATAAGACGCATTTATTCAAAGGCTGATGAATGCTTGAAGGTTTTTTATTTTGATTTTAAAGTTACTAGAGTTGGGGCACATTTCAGGTAATTGGGAAGCTGATTCCATCTGTGTGCAGCATAGTGACTTAAAGCAGCTTCACCCTGTTTGGTTCTGACCCGGACTTCTACAAGCTGACTGTTTCCCAAGGATCGGAGAGCCCTGCTAGGCCTATGTGTAGGAAGGAGATCCAAAATGTATTTTGGCCCCATGCCACTGAGAGATTTGTAGACTAGTAAAATCACTTTGAAGTCAATTCTGTAGTTTACTGGAAGCCAGTGTAGAGATCTAAGAACAGGAGTGATGTGCTCGGTTTTCGTTAAGACTCTAGCAGCAGCATTCTGAATAAGCTGCGTTAGTTTTACAGCTGTTTTGGGGAGACCAGTTAGAAGACCATTGCAATAGTCCAGCTTTCTGGAGATGAAAGCATGAATGAGTTTCTTTAGGCCTCTAGGTTTTGACACGAGACATCTGAGTCTTGCTAATTGATGGAGATGATAAAACGCTGATCTAGTTATAGCTTTAATATGACCAGTAAAGCTCAAGCCTGAATCAATGGTAACACCAAGATTTCTCACTGAAGTCTTTGTCTTTATTTCTTTGGGGCTAAGTTGAGAAAATGCTTCCGTTCTATCCTTATTTCCAAAGATAATAACTTCAGCCTTGTCCTTGTTTAACTGAAGGAAACTTGATTGCATCCAGTCATTAACCTGCTCTAGGCACTGACAGAGTGAGTCTAGGCGATAGAGCTAGATAGATCTGGGTGTCTTCTGCATAACAATGGTAGGCAGTGTTGTTATTGTCTATGACCTGGCCCAGTGGGAGCATTTAGAGACTGAAACTCTATCATTGTGGCACTTAAGACAATATTTGAAATTCGTAAGAGACTGCAAGCTGAACCTCTTGTTTCTGGCAGGAGTATACAGTGAGGAACATAAATATTTAAAGACTCTGTGGAAAAAAAAATAATCAGTCAGCCAAAGGTATGGGAGGTAATTATATCTGACTTTGATCCTGAATTTGCTTGGACCAGCGGTTTGCTCGTCATGTCAGAACCTATTTCTGTTTTTCCAAATTGAGGTTGTTTAAAGCTCTATCTATATTAGATAAGCTTCCTGTTCATAATTTATCCAGATAGCTAGTTTTTAGGATGGATTTCATCCACCTGTGTTCATTCTGCAGCAGGCTTGTCTGCACCAGCATTTTATTTTCTTAGAAAAATGTTTTTGAGAGTCAGAACAAGTCAGAACACTGAGATTCTCTGCAAGCTTCAGACAGGAGTGCTTCTGACTGATGTCTAGTTACAGAAATGCAAACCCACAAACACCAATGGCAACTGTCTTATACTGAAATGTAAACTATGTTTAAGGTATGCCACTGATTTTAGTTTAATTAATTACAAAGTCATTCAATTAAATGCATAAGACAAAAACAATTACTTTCTCTTAGACCTATGACGTGCAGCTTGTTCAAGATGCTGTCAGAAGAGTTTTCTGTCTTTTTAACGTCAATGGGAAGAAGTTAAATTTTGATCAGTGTGGACTGAAAAAACATGATGCATTCTTGCCAAGATGCCCCACCCTCATTCGTGTGTGTGTGTGTGTGTGTTTTATATAGAAAGACAATGATACAGTTCTTACGTCTGCCGTTTCTTTGTCAGATGGCACATGTTCAAAAGCCATATTTCTTAGATTATCCATCTATCGCTCTCACACACACGTCCATGTGACAGGGCTGAACTCTGAGATTTTGCAGCTCTCTACTGATCACCTCTCGCCACTCCCAAAGGTGTGGTGTTCAGTTTGTTACTTCATGAACAAGTCCTAGCAGAACAAAAATGCATTAATACTTGTCATGGAACATCTTTAACGTTCAACTCTGTGGCTTGCTGCGGAATCAAACGATTGACACAGTGAATAGTTGAACATGTTGGCTCAGTTAGGTGCTTGTCGTTTAGTTTGAAGGTCAGTCCTCAGTAAACCAGTTGAGCTGTTTTAACACACATAAACAGGAAATCCAGTAAATGTATGCTTTGTCCTATAAAAATAAAAAGTATTAATCTATTTTTTCTTTGTTACAGTCATACGAAAAAGATGACTTTAAAGTCGATGACCAAAACTAAAGCAAGGTTCTGGTGTTTATCTGCAAGAAAGTGTGGGGAGATCTCAAGCACAAAGGTGACCAATGGGGAAACGAGACTTTTTCATGCTTGTGCAACACAACGGACATTGGTGCAGAGCTTTGCACTCTTATACCAACATGTGCATCTATATCATGTACTCTAAATACTGTTTGTACAGCGTCATGTCAGGGATTTAATAGTCCGAAAACCATACATTCAAATAAACCATTTAAAGAGCAAGTCAACCCCTACCAGAGTCTAACTCCACTCCCACTTCATGTTTGAAAAATGCAACAAATGCTGTTGCCTGGCAGACCGAGAGGGCGGATCTGCTAACAAATACGCACACAGGCTCACGACAGCATTGTGACATCATAATGTACCAGTTTACATCATAGCATACCTCTTAGCCAATAGCGGTGGCAGATTTAAATGAAAATACAGTGCAGTTTTTGCCTGACAACGGCGCAACACTGCCAGTTTTAGGCAGAATATTTAAATTTTAACTAAGATGCACTGAAGTGCCAAATTATTGACGACACGTGTCTGCAGCACGATTAAACACTCGTTTATTTAGTTTATCAGCAAAAACAAGTTTATTTGGGGGTGACTTGCTCTTTAAAAAAGTCTACTTTATAGGCACACGTACCTTCTTGCTGGTGTACATGTTTAAATGCCTGAATACAAAAACATAAAAATCCTTGTAAATATAGTTTTGCTTTTACAGTTTTGTATTTGTGAACTTTTTAAATAGTCAAAAAATTTTTATGTTTAATGTAAACTAAAGATTAATAGTAGTGTGGCTGTAAATACATTTTCTTTAAGGGGATAAGTACTTTCTGTTTGACTTTGCCAATTTCTTGCATGCTTCATAAAGCATAAAACCTTTTATATTAAGTGTAATCAGCTGGTGAAAGTGTATCAGAAATAAAAATGGAAAGTGTTTTGTTTTAAGCAGATTTATTTCTTAGGCCTATAAATGACTATGTTTGAGCACCTTTCATGATTATCTCAGTACAGACATTATTTGCATTGTGTAAAAACACATATTTCAAAAATGACACGTTAAATGTTGGAATTGTTTGCTATTGCTCAGTTGCTTTAATTGTGATCATGTTGGGGTTTTTAACAGTTGCTTTTCATGTTTCATCCACATAAATTTGTCACCCAATTTAAAAGCTAATAAAGGACACCCGCAAAGTTTTTTTTTTTTTTTTTTTGTCTTGTGTGTGTCTGGAACAAATGTGGACCAACGCCCTGTTTGCATATTTACGTCTCAGACAGGAACAAATACATTTTCCTACTGCTCCCTTACTTAGGCTCTGATTTCATTTCTTCTCAAAACAGATTTTTCATCATTACTCTTTGATGTAAATAAGGTGACAAATCAACCCAAAATGAACATATTCACCAAGTTGTTTTTCAACATGGTACTACAGTGCAAAACTCATTAGCATTAACCCTCTCAGGCTCAAAATAAGTTTTGATAAAAGGACGAACAACTAAGTTGTTCACGGGTACTTCTGAGTTAAAAAATGCTCATGAAATACGTATGAGGAGTAGCCAGGTAGGTAGGTTTTAATGTTGCAAATCTGCAACGCCTGCCTCCAGAGGGTTAAAAAGGTATTGGTTTGTGAAAACAAGAAAACAGAATTGGCACATAGATTTCAGTAACACACAAAAACATGACAAAATGTAAGTGTGATAGTTTCAGAGATGAGTAGAAATCACACATCCTCTTTAGTGACCAAGCAGTAGAAATCACAGCGAGCGGCATAGCTTCGTGATCCTAGATCCGACACATCAATGTCAGGATTTGGTTCAGCAGCTGGGAGGATCGGAGCTTTAGCGCTCAGAGACCTGTACACAGGGAGCCGAAGCCCTGCAGCAGAGACAGGAAAAAAAAGTTTTAAAAGACAGTGACTCATTTTAGTGTTTTATTGTGTTTTTGTTTTAATGTGTTCTTAGTATTCCTCATGTTTAACTGCTTTTTATTGCTTGTGATTTTTATCTTGAGATGTGCTATAGAAAAGATCTTTTCTTCTTCTTCTTCTTGATTGGTATTCTTATCTTCTGTTTTAGTTCCTTGGATTGGTCGTGTTTTGTTTTAGCCTGTGCAGCACTTTGAGCAGCTCCCATGCTGCGTTTTAAACGTGCTATATAAATAAACTATGGTACGGTATGGTAAGTCAAAACCAATTTGTACCAAAGAAATATGCCATACATTTCTTAAAATGCATCTTTAATACATCTTTTAAAATGTGCGTGTGCACGTGCAATGTAAATTGATCACAAACCAGTATTTACTGGTACATTTACATGAGCATTTCACTGAATGTGATTTGTATGAAAACACATCTGGTAAATAGAATAAAACAACCCATCAGTAAACCATAACTGCTTATTCAGAAACTGCTGCTCTTACCTAGATCTCCAGCTGGATCAATGTCTGAGCGGCAGTCCAGGTAGTCCGGGTCAAGGGTCAGCATGGGGTCTTTGTCATCCTGCAGCACAGTCTGAGGGTCTCCTGCAGACTCATTACGGAGGACCACTCTGCGAGGCATGGCTAAGGCTAATTCCTTCCAGAAGACTGACGAAGGAGTCTAAACACCAAATCCATCCTGCTGTTAGTCAGTTTTATGAAGTCCAGAGCCTTTACATAGATCACTTAAGTTAAATAAAATATACTTTCCCAAAAAATGCATTACATAAATATTTAAAATGAGTAGAACGACCAGTTTTTAAGTTTAACATCCCATAAAAACAAGGCAATGATAATAAATCTGTTCCACTGAATCAAGTTTCAAGCATGTGTTTATTTTTTTTTATTACACTGTGTGTATAATTAGATGTAGACTATAATTAAAGTGACTGACAACTATAGCCCCCTAACCCAGCCACACCAAAGGAATCACATGGAGCTGGTTGTCTTTCTCCTGACAGGTTTGGACCGTTTTCACTGGAGGTCTTCTCATTGGTTTAAAACAGGAAGTTCTCAGTTTCACAAATAGGCCGTCACTCATTTTAGGTACCAATCAGAAGCAGGCAGCATTTGAATCTAAACTTTAGGACTGTTGTATATGAAACAAAAAAGCATTCCACCCTTCAAACTCCTGATTCACACTAAACTCAGTAATGGACAAATGTGAATCTGACCCTTCACGAACTGAACAAATACAAGTAATTTAAGTATTTAAAGTAAAAACTAAGAAAGGTAAAAACACTCCAAGCTTGTTTTTGAGTTAGAATTGCTTTAACCCTCCCACTGCCCTAATGGGTGACCCCGCGAGGAAAGTTGACCATTGCGCAGGATTGATGGTTTATCCCTTGAGGTCCACATGGCAGGGGTGAGGTAATGCTCGCTCCTCATCCCTGCCACGTGGACCTCACGGGATAAACCATCAATCCTGCATGCTCAATGGTCAACTTTCCTCACAGGGTCACCCATAAAGACAGTGGGAGGGTTAAGCAAACTGGTCTTTGTAAGGTTTAGATCTGGTCAACCAAATACCTCTAATGATGGGGTTCTATTAAGGGTTAGATTATTGTAATCACTTGTTTTGGTTATGTTCCAGAATAATGTGCACCCATTTAAAAAGATAAAACAAAATGGAACCACTTCATTTTGAATCTTACCACAGAATTCTGCCTCCAAGTGAGTATGGTGAGGCGGTGCTGGTGCTCAGCGAGCTGCTCCCTGACCTCTTGATTCATGCATCTGGGCTGGCCCTCCAACATGATCAGTATAGGCTGCTGGCACAACTCCAGCAAGTGCAGGAGACCCTGTCTGAAATGAAGCAACAACACAGTGAGAAGCTGCAGTTAACGATTCACATGCAACACTGACCTCAAGTGGTGTGCTTGTATAATGCAGCTACATTTATGTAACTCTTTATATTTCTTCGCTGAAACCATTAATGCATAAATAAACCTGCGTAAGTCCGACCTGAAATTCATAGTGCACCAATCCTGCTGGAGATATGCATGTGAGAGCAGCACTATGAGACGGCGGGAGCGACTCATGTTCACTAGGAGCTCCGCAGACGGCTCTAGACACAAATACAAAGCAAGCATATTTACTTATCAGGGATTGGTTAAAAAATAAAATTTTAATTTGGTAACAACAATAATGAGTTATGAAAACTGTGATTATGTAAATGCACGCTCATTTTGCGGGACATTACCTGATCCAGGTAGGATCTCGTTCTCATTGAGGTGCACTTTATACCCACTTTTATTTTCCAAATGTGGTTTGAGAATAAAGTTGATAAACTTCCTGTCATAGTCATTGTTAACATAGGAGATGTAGGCATCATATAATTTCCCATCTGGACATGGAGACACACAAACACACCACTTGGGTTAAAACTACATTAAACGAGACAGCATCAACTTCAGTTTGCTTTAACAAGACTCACCATTGAGTTCGAAGTCTCCATAAGAGTTCTTGTACCAGAGTTTAAAGTTCAGGTGACATCTGGTGTACACAAGTGCTGCTACACCCAACAGGAGGAGGAGGGTGATGGCTGCACTGACAGCAGCTGTGTGGCTGGGACTGCCTAGCCACAATAATCAGAAATAAATGTTTTATTACAAACACATGTGCGATGCTTACACACGTGCACCAGCAAGGGTGAAATTAGAAGGGACGAATTTTGTTTTGGACGTCTAGACTGGCTAATTAATGTGAAAAGTACATATTAAAACTTGAACCAATGGCAAATGGCCTGTATTTGATATAGCGCCTTCTAGAGTCCTGGAAGGTGCTTTACAACACAATCAGTCACTCACACACACATTCACACGCTGATGGGGATGAGCTACAATGTGGGGCACACTGACAGAGACCAGGCTGCCGAGCACAGGTGTCACCGGTCCCTCTGACCACCACCAGCAGGCAAGGGGGGTTAAATGTCTTGCCCAAGGACACAATGACAGCAACAAACTGAGCGGGGCTCGAACCTGCAACCTTCAGATTACGGGGCAAGCACCTAACTCCTGTGCCACCATCGCCTCTTGCAATCATTGCTAAGCACCAACTTTTGCTGGTGATAAAAGATTTTTAATGTGAAAGTTTTACTTCCAGATCATGAGATTCAAGTCAAATGTATTCCAGTAAGAAGGGCACACCTTAACCACACAATGACACATTGTGAAGTACAGATGTAAAAATAAAGCTTAGATCTAATAGTCTGCATTTTTTTACAGGAGACAAATCGATCATGTGTCCTAACTTGTCTTACTTGAATTCTGGATGCTGAAGTATGAAGACAAGTTCCTGGATGTACAGCTATAGAGTCCAAAATCTTCAGGTTCTATGAAGGTGATCTCAAGCAGACTGCTAACAATCAGCTGCCCATTAGCAGGGGACCTAATGACAAAGACAAGAAAACTTTATTATATCACCTCCCAAAAGCTCTAACGATGATGCAAGTGCACTAAAAGGAAACCGATATCTCAAAAGTGTCCAGTGACCATGATGACGTGTTGTGGAAGAGGCCCGTGTGGTTGGTGAGAGACTGGCCAGCTTTGCTCCACAGCAGGGTGGTTTCGCATCGATCCTCTGATGGATCCCAGAGAAGTAGAGCCGTGCAGTTCAATACCACGCTGGATCCAGTCTTCCTCCAGAGTTTAGTTGGACCACCATTTGTTTTAAACACTGGAGCTTGGGAGCACCGAGAGTCTAAAGGCATGAAACCGTTAACTGTGAGAGTTGCAAACAATGAGAAGCTGGAAACCTCTCAAACTCGTTCATTTAATGTCATGATGTCCTTTAAATTTGAAGAAGACACCAAAAGCATGTATGAAAGACAGTTCTGAGATTAGTTCAGTTCTAAAAAAACATGGAGGTAATTCTCACCCTTCACTTTGAGGCGCACTGTGAACAGTGCTGTGCCATTTCCTTCTTGCATGCACGTGTAATTTCCTTCGTCCTTTATGCTTACACTGGTAAACTCCAGAAAATTCTTCCCCACCTGTTTCTGCAGCTGCTGACAGTCCTTCAACCAGGTCAGCTGGATTTCAGGGACACTTTGGGACAGAGCAGGCTGCAGAGGACACTTTAGTATATATGAAGGTTCTTGCTGCCCTGCATAGAGCACGTGCTCTTTAAATCGGCCCTCGTCCACACAACTCTGGCCTGTAAATAAAAACAACACAAGATATTAGATTAGGAACTTAAGAAGGAACCTTTTCAGAGTCTTCTCTCCCAGTTATGTTTACTCAGTACCTGACAGTTTACAATCTTACAAATAAGTTTATGTAAAATTTGCAAGTAAAACCCAGCAACTGAATAAACATTGAAAGGTATTTGGCCATTATGTAATCATGCATTATTTTCGCGTCTAAACAAAATGATCAAGTATTTCCACGGTGTGTCTGAATTTAATTGATCAATTGATGGAGATTTTGAGGAATTAAAATAGTAGTCAGCTTTAGTAAAGTGTATGGAAACGTGATTGTGTTGAAAAACAAACAAAACCATGTAAAGGACTTTAAAAGAACTGGTAACAGAAGCTCAAACTTTCACAAGTAAATATCTCCTGGGTTTTAGCCAATACAAGTCGTCCAGGAAATATACATGTTTTCAATATTTTAATAACATTTTTATGGGGTTTAGATTGCCATGTAATGCCTAAACTCATTAATAGGTATACGTTCATGAAAAAATAAAAGAATCTTAATATAAAATATTTTGAAATGTTAGATTTGCGTTGGACCTGAATGTGGTTCAAGAACTACTGTTCAAACAGAAGTATCCAGGTCCGAAGTCCAGTTCTATGTGTACTTCTTGTTGCCAGGTAACAGCACGTGACTCCAGGACACCGCACACCTTGACCGCGCGTGCGCTGCCTTGATACAACCAGCATCGTGATGTTCTTTCCGTCAGTTTTACTTTGTAATAACAATCATTCATAACATATCAACAGAAAACATATCTGGTTCTCGGCGGACTAAGTTTTCAAACGAATACATAAAGTTTAATTGAAGTTAAAAGTATAATTCGTACCGAAAACAAGGAATCCCGAGCACAACAATATTAAAGCAGCCACAACTTTAGCCATTGGCCACCCGTCTCCTTTTCCTTCTGTCAAGTAGAAAAATATCCGTCAATGACCTTTTGTTTGGTGTAGGTTTAGTCCTGAGCTGGCTACGCAGACCATTGTTCCAGCAGCACCTGGAACAACCTGAACTCTGTCGATGATTGGCTCTAGTGGTCACGTGATACACTCACTGGTTTTTTTTTTTTTTTACCTGTATTCAAATTAATACCGAGTTCAGAAGCAGGACACAATGCGGACAAACGTCTCTAACATCAAACATAGTTCAGACATGATCGTACAGAGATCAAAGACGCGCGTACAGGTGTACCATCAAATCGCGCTCCCCGATCAAATAATGTTTCCCCCCCACAGCTCCGCTCCGCCCTAACGTCAAAAGCGCTGCTCGGCTCCGCCCAGGCGGCAAAAAGAAAACCCGTCTCGCAATGCTCGTGCACAGGGAGACTACGGAAATCATGAAGGTTCAAAAAGCATGATTCAGCGAATGTATTTTGTGTATTCCTTCTGTGAAACATTTATTAGATGACGATGATGATAGATAGATAGATAGATAGATAGATAGATAGATAGATAGATAGATAGATAGATAGATAGATAGATAGATAGATAGATAGATAGATAGATAGATAGATAGATAGATGATAGATAGATAGATAGATAGATAGATAGATAGATAGATAGATAGATAGATAGATAGATAGATAGATATAGATAGATAGATAGATAGATAGATAGATAGATAGATAGATAGATAGATGATATGGAACGGGAACTAGGATTGGGACAATATTCAGCGTAACTTGTACCAAGTTTTGTAACTGCAAACATGTTTCATCACATGTAACTTTGGATTCGTAACGAATCCAAAGTTACAAGTTACGAATCCAAAGTTACATGTGATGAAACATGTTTGCAGTTACAAAACTTGGTACAAGTTACGCTGAATATTGTCCCAATCCTAGTCCCATAGTATGGATGATAGATAGATTTTTGAACCTTCATGTTTCCCGTAGTCTCCCTGTGCACGAGCAGAGTGTGCTAGTCACGTGTGTGAGTGAACGAGATAACGTAAGCGCGGGTTTTCTTTTTGCCGCCTGGGTGGAGCCGAACAGCGCTAGGGCGGAGCGGAGCTGTAGGGGGAAACATTTGATGGGAGAGCGCGCTTTGATGGTACACCTGTTTCAGAACCTGCTGTTCTGGTCTAACTGGATCATCCTTCTTCCTCCAGCTCTTTCATGTTGCTGGTGAAGGTTCTCGGTCATCCAAGTCATGGTCACTCTTTCATGTTGTGACTGATTCAAAGGTTGAAAATCCCAAAATACACAAAATGTTTAATTTATTCACAAACCTCAATGCACAAAAACGTTTTATCCAATTGAAACTGACAGTAATTATATAAATATGGTAGGACTGCACGATATGGCCTAAAATCAATATCACTATATATTGAGGAATTCTTGTAAACGATAAATGGACAATAACTACATGTAAGCCCTAAAATTTAAATTGTCCACTAGATGGGGCTGTCACGTGTACTACATTGAGTCACCTTTTCACATGACTCAAGGTAGTACAGTTTCTTAAAGGGGCATAAATGTCACCAAACTGCACACATATTTTCTTTTTTCTTTTTTTAATCTAATTTATTGACATTGGAAAAACTATATCAGTGAAAGCCAGAAAGCTTTGATATCAATAAATGTTTGATTTATTAACCAGCCCTAATATATGGTGTATACCTGACAAAGAAAGTTTGGAATGTCATTGTCCAGGTAGAAGAGATTAAAGACCATGGATGAGGAGGCAAAGAAGGGGGAGCAAGTTGTCAGTATGACAGATGTAGTGCGTGTTTACATACAGAAGACAAAACATCCAGACAAACATTCTCTCCCAAGGTTCCTGCACTCTCTGTGAAAGCCAGACGTCAACATTCTTCACTCTGAATAAGTGAAGACTCCACGATTTTATAGTTGTAAGTTAAATAATCATATGTGATGAATGAACAAGATGTTTAAATCAAATATTTGAATAATCTGTGCTTAAATCAATGAATTTGAAAAGAATATTGTTCTTACAATGATTTATATCACAAATCGGTATGTGTTTGATTTAACAAGTTAATCATTGTTTACGCTCATACACATTACAATAAGATACATATTAAGGTTAAAAACATCTTTGTATCTGAACAAAGGCATGGCTTTCTGAGGCTTTCCGGTCATGTCACATTCTGATTTGCAAGAATACGCCAGAAATCATAACAAAGTAGTTTAATAAAACAAGAATTACTTTCCAATTCATTCAGTTTCCAGCTGACCCCCGATTCGGCCAAATCGGGAAAGACGCCTCTTTTGAAACCAACTCCTTTGACCTTAAGTCAAAACCTGTCTGCGACGCTGCAAGTGATTACAGACACAACAGCTCTTTTCAGAGCTACCACAACCCTCAGACATCCACCTTGGACACCTAACCTGCAGACCTCGGGTTGCATCTCATGGCTGGGGACGCTGAACTCAGAGGAAGCTACTAATCTCTAAGTATTGAGTATTGAGTGCAACGTGTGCGTTACACTCCTGCCCGCAACCGCAAAACTCGGAGAAATCATTACCTCACAATAAAAGAGATGTATTGAGTTTGCATCCTCTCTGGTCCTGGAGAAAACATGTCACAACCCGTGGCTCTTCCGTCCATCTGATGTGGCTCTCTGTGCTTGTAAAATAATGAATGGATATTTAAATAAAATGCTTAATATTTTACTGAATTAATTTTATATCTGTAAGTCAATTCTATGTAAAGATTGTCTGCATAAACCTGAACAGGTCCGACCCGGTCTTACTGTGAGACCGGGTTGATGGGTCACGCTTGTGCGTAATCATATAGGCGCTGTCTGAGCTGAAGAGATTCTGGGCTTCTCCTCAGACGGCTCCTGGATGCGTCGCCACATTGGAGACAGGAACAAGCACTATTCAGCCAAAGTTTCATAATCAGGGAACATTTTCTAAGTGAAAGCTCTCTGAGCGACAGGGTTTGGAAAACACTCGCTTCAGTGGGAGGAATCTTCCCGCATGCGCTCTGGTTCTGCAACGCGCTCCAAGCCAATCTCCACAACTCCAGCTCGCTGTGCACCTATGCGCTGACAGCGAGCTGCGCTGAGCAGCTCAGATGTTCAGATGGGAATCTTTTCTTGGGTGATTTAGCTACATCTGCGATGTGTGTAACGAATAAAATGTCAGTTTGTCTGCATGCGTCGGGGTAATTCTTTCTATTCTTTCTCCGTCAAAATAAACGGTCAAATACAGGAACTATCCGGTCAACACAACACAAGCCCTGCTTTTAACTGTTCTGTTTTCTTGTGAAAATTGTTGGAAAGAGATAAAATTTAACTTGATTCCCACCAGAGCCTGCGTCGTTATCTCCGTGACGGTAAATGAGGGAAAAACAAATTGATCGGATCGTGCACGTCTTTTAACACATTGGTCAGGATTGACGCACTTTGTTTTCATTTAGTTGGTTAAAAAAAGTCAGGCTCGGGCTCGGGTCAGGCCACTGAATCCTGAAAACATTTTCGGGCCGGGTCGGGCTGGGGCTCCACCCCCTCGGGCCGGGCCAGACACGGGCTCAGACTGACAAGTATAAATGAATTTTGATAAGCCCTCTGTTTTTGTTAATAAGATAACAGAGAGATCTCTCGTGAGTCAGTGGCTGAGATCTTTTCATATTATACTTTTTACCTTTATGTTTAGTTCTTCACTCTTACTTTTATCTTTGGACAATATTAGACCTAAGTATTTTACTTCAGTTTTGAAAGACATGGAGCCTATATTTGTCTCAGCACATGCGGATGAAGAGGTAATATTTCTTCTTCTTTTTTTAAATCAGACATAATCCTGAGGCTTTAGAAAAGATTGATATTATATCTAATGTTTTTTCAATTAATGATTTGTTTTTTAAGAAGATTACTGTGTCATCTACAAATCGACTAATTTTAAATTCACAATCAAACATAGTGATTCCTTTCATTTGAGGGTGGTTTATAATTAGGTGTGCTAGCACTTGTGTACATAAAATGAATAATTTTGGTGAAATAGGGCAACCTTGTCTAATACCATGTGAAATCTTAATTTTTGGTGTTGTCCCAGGGTTGAGCGAGATGTAACTATGGATATCATTATGAAACATTTTTATGATCTTACAAAAACCTTCTCCAAATCCAAGTTTTTTGAGCACCGCAAGCATAAATCCATGTTCCACAGTGTCAAAAGCTTTAAAAAAAAATCTATGAACAGCACGAAGCTATCTGGTTGAATGAACATTTGGTAATCAATCATATCTTATATCAGTCGCATATGATTATAAATATATCTTTCCTTAATAAAAGCTGATCGATACTCTCCGACAAGATTCCCAATTATTTGCTTTAAGCGATTTGCATATACTAAAGCCAGAAGTTTATAATTGTTACATAATAAGGTTATAGGTCTCCAGTTATAGTTTTAGTTATAGTTATAGTGGATCTTTGAGTGGTTTTGGTAATAGGGTTATTAATCCTGTTTTCATAGTGAGGGACAAATATCCTTTTTTAGTACATTCTAAAATAAGTTTTTAGGGATTTTATCAATATGTTTATCAATAAACCCATTTCCTGTAGTGAAGAGAGAAGGAGACAATGAGCAGACAAGTCAACCAGTTATAACTGTGGCACTTGCACGAGGCAAAATGCCCCGAACATCTGATCACAGAGTTTATTTAAACAAATAGATAAGGATGGGAGTGGTGTGTGTGTGTGTGTGTGTGTGTGTGTGTGTGTGTGTGTGTGTGTGTGTGTGTGTGTGTGTGTGTGTGTTGGAAGAACAGTGTGTGGGTGTTTCTAAGTGTGAGAATGCTTCAGGACATTTGTGGGATTAATAAAGTATCTTTGAACTGAATTTGAATTGAATTCAATTGAAATATAAAATTTCCATAACATAATCCCTCCTGTTTATCCAAATAGGATAACCAACAAAATAAAGCAACAAAACAAAAACAAATAAGGAATATAATAAATAAGTAAAATAATAAAAAATCTTATCCACTTTCATAACTTTTAACCATTTTCTGTAAAAGCTTCATTAATCACGACTTAAGGAATAGGGAAGGGGTAAAACCAGGAAAGGTGATCATC